TGAAGATGCGGATGTCTCGACTAGAACAAGCTCCAGCTCCCTTTTGGCTACCTACTTGAATTAAAACAGTTAGTCTATAATAGTTCTGGCCTGCTGAGAACGACGGACTGATAACCGTAGGCTATAGGCCTAGCCTACTTGGAACCTTGCTCACCGCTAGCTGCCACACAGATTTAGGCCTTTAGGGTAGAATATTGTTAAAAAGGTAGGCCTCTGTAAGTAAGAACTTAAAAATAGGCCAAGCCTCTACTAGTCTAGGCTAGGCCTACTACCTGACTCTAGGCGAGGCCTGAGCCATCCTACTGGAAAGTTAAAGTTTTGTTGTATTTGTATGTATGGTATGCCATCTATTATTCTAGTCTAAGTTTAATTGTTTTTGCCATTGCCAACATTAGTCTAGGGTCTATTCTAAATATTTTAGGCCCGTTTTATTAGGGAGGACTATTTAAATTTAGTCATGCCTAAATAGTCGACGCGAGTGACTCAGTTTCGTGGCTCCAAAAATATGAACATTTGATTGGTTGAAATTGTTTATTTCGGTCCGCCCATTTATCCAAATACGGAATATAAGATTACGTCATTCTTTTGGCATCCTGGTTCCTGATTTCAGTGTTTTACAAGTCGCTTATTCCGTCTCTAAATTAACTTTCTCGTTGGTGGCGCTGTCCAGAATGAGAAAAATAAGAGACTTGTGGCAAGTCTAACTATTACCAAGTAGACACATTGAAAGCAAATAAAAGAAGCACTAGACATGATTTAAATACCATGAATCCCCAACCACGAATGATCAAGAGAGGAATTTTACTGATGTGAGTTAGCCAGGTTTTCGTACACTTCGCAAGGGGTCATCCAAAATTATCAACATTTTCAAAAGAGTACAAAACATACTCTTTTCTGTTACCCCCTCCCTCCCCCCGAAAGAGTACACAATAAAATGTTGATTTGTGTCATTTTGAGATCAACATTTTATGTTTTTCATAAAAGAGTACTTATGCCTACACTTTCAACCCCCTCCCCCCACTAAAGCATATGTTTTGTACTCTTTTGAAAATGTTGATAATTATGGATGACCCCTAAAATAAAGGAAATAAAAAAATATAAAAAATTGGTGAGGCAGAGAATATCGATGTCTGAGGGGATAAGAAACTAGTTATTTTTTTTATTTGGCCTAAGATGAAACAAGACAAGGATGACACAGTAGCCTGTATATTCTTGTATCCATATACATTTTCTTTTTATTGAGAGCTTGTTGTAATCTTAGCTTCTTTATCTGGCCTGCAATGTTATTGTAACCATACAATAACATATAAATCCATACATAATCATCTTTCCATTGACATATGCTGGGGAAATCCTTACATTAGGGAACTAATAGAAGAAGGTTTTAGTAGATACTATGACAAGCCTACCTTTCTCGAAACAGGTACTTCGATTGCTACAGGCACCACCCCAGCAAACAAACAGCTATAGAAAGCACACAAAAAATTAGCTGGATCTGAATTTGGGTAAACGAGAGCCACCTGAAATGCAGTAAAAAGGACAGAATTATAGTTACACATTCTCAGAAATCTATTTGGCCAAAAGATAAAAACAATGAACAAATTGTTAAATTATAAAAATAAATGAATGAGTAAATTATGTTTTTAAAGATACTTACCCTGTCTCCAGGTTTTATTGATGACTCATTCCTTCCACCTATCTTGTTTAGTAGGAAATAAGCTATCTTTTGAGCTCTACTTAAAAGTTTGCCTGAAAATAAATAGTTGGTAATAAATATGATTTAGCATACTTACAAAATATCAATTTCTTTAAAATTTTTAACAAAAGTAAGTTTTAAAATATCACTAAATATGAGGATAATCATTAGCGATAAGGAAACACTTAGTACTGCTAAATAAATTAAAGAACTGATTAACATGGGGGATACATATACACTTTCAACGTTTAACAACGTAACATTATTATGGAATATCAACCTGTGTACTTGTTAATTCAAATTAATTCAATCCATAAAGAGTTTATACAAACATTTACTATCTTCTCATTTTGTATTTTATATTTGTATTAGGCATTTTATAAGTTAGCTTTAGGTTTAATATTTATGCATTTGTGAAAGCAAATAAAGAAAACAAAATGGAACAACTGAAAGATAATAAAATATTGGGTTTATTGTTGTCTATATGCCAATTGCCAGCCTAATAAAATTATATAATGCTGTATATATGCAGGTCTATGTGTCTTTTAATATTTATTATCTTGTAAATGTTACCGAATTCAAAGTATTTTCTTTACAGTCTGTAATATGCACTGTAGTATGCTTTGAGCTTTATATAGAGATGGGCTTGCGCCTACCCACACTGGCTACCATTATATTTTAAATTCAGTGTCAAGTTAGGCTTATGTCGTATTTGTGACTTAACTCAACTTAACTGACATCAACCAAGGGTCCCAAGTTGGGAAAACCAATTTCTGGGAGATCTGGTTAAATGACATGAGAGTGAGAGTGGGGGGGGGGGGGGGGCTAGCGAAGGGGGGGGGGGGGGGGGGGGGGGTGCTAGAAAAAGGGTCACACCCACCTCAGCCCCAGCATGGATGGGGCTAAGGTGAGCAAATTTTTAAGGATAGGCACCTATAGAAGCCCGAAAATGGCAATGTTCGACTGTAAAAACTACTTGGTTTCTTAGTTGCGTGGTAGTGAAAAACCTATATTAGCTTCCTTTATACTAAATTTGCTGGAGATGAGTGCATTTCCGGGAGATTTTTGCTTGCTCGCAAGAGTGCGGGAGACAATACCGATATCTGGGAGACTCTCACGAGTTCCGGGAGATTGGGACCCCTGCATCAACTACTACTACTACTAGCTAGCAACTCTGAGCAACTAGCAGGCAACTGTGAGTCGCATGATTTGGAGTGACACAAGCACTCCAATCGACAGCTGCTGTTAGTTGCCTATCTTCTATTTTGCTGTGATTCAAAGCAACTGACATGCGATTAAATGATCATGTGAAACACGTTACCCAATAGTCTATTATCTGCACTCACACCATGCTCGCTAACATTGTATGATATTGTACATAAACTAGCCTTTATTTTCCATATTTATAGAGGCTGACTCTTCTAGCGTATCATTGAAGGTAGGCTGATAACCAGGGGCCCTTTTAAATAAATGAAATATTGTGATCAGCAAGATCTCTTTATGAAGCTCAGCAAGTGGAAATTTATAGTCATGAGGAAAGGTCTTGCTGTCACAAGAATTGAGCCCAGGACCCTGAGTTATAGTAGGCAAGCATCTTAACCACTAAAGCTATACAACTCTACTCCATTCTACCTAGTTGCACAAATGTGAGTGAAAGTCGACACAAACACTGCCGGCAACTAGCAGAGGTCAATTGATGTCAGTTGAACTGAGTCAAGTTACAAGGACGACATAAGCTTCATATATAAATAACACAATTGATAGGCCAGAAATGTGGAAATTACATAATTAAAAGTGGTGTCGGTCAATTTTTCACCATATGTAATACTGTATACATATATATGTCAATTACTTACCGTATGTAAGCGTTTCTTTCGGTTTACCACTGACATCTAAGGAGGTAACGGCTGGCGCTTTAAACGTTGAGTTACCATACCTTTGCAATGCTGCTTCTAGATGTCTTGGTAGTCCAGTTGGTAACTGAAAACAAATATTTTAATTTAAGAAACTAAAAATCCCTTTACAATATTCTGTTAAATAAAATTGCTAAAATCGTAGTGGAATAAGTGTAGCTATGTTTTTTTCATGAAAAGAAGTCCTATGTTTTATAGGATTTGAAACCAGAATGCTGAGATTAAACAGGAAGCATTTTAACCATCACATATCAGCATCACATTTAACAACATTTATAATTTACTTATTATTATATAAATCTATCTTAAATATATTAAGAAATTATAAAGACATTAGTATTAATGTTATTTTTGTAATGAGAGCAACAAAGAAAGAAAAAGATGATAAAAAAAAACTTAAACAATTCTTAATATATATAGTAAGAAAATGATACTATATACCTTGCCATTTAATTTATTATAAACATAGCCCAAGATGTGTACTCTTACAACAAATTAAAATATTCCCTAGTAGTATGCATCAATATTCTTCTAGCCTAAGTGATTGAATATTCAATTACTGCTGTAGTGGCAATGATAATTGATATATATGTCCAAGGCAAAATCACTGGGTATATGTAATGAGATGTTGTAATCACAATTGTAACAATGCTCTATTCTTTATTCATGAATTTAAAAAAAAAATTAATATTTCTTTTTACGGTTTCTCCACATATGACCACTAGAAATAGCTGGAGAATCAATTTGGAGAAATGGTTGGGAGAATGGCCATGAGAAATGGCTGGGTGAAAAAACTGGGAGAAATGGTTGAGACAAATGGCTAGGAGAAATGGCCGTGAGAAATGGCTGAAGGAAATGGTTATCAGAAAGGAAATAAGCAGCAGAGAAATGGCGAACTGAGAAATGGCGAACTGAGAAATGGCCGGGAGGAATTGCCGGAAGTGATAAATGACCAGAAAGAAATGACCACTTACTGTTAGTTGCTCTCCAATGGCTGGAGTGATTGTATTGCCTTCAGGGTTTGGTGCATTTGGATCAAGTTGGTTGGCAGATACTAATAGAAATGATCATTGATACTTGCATTAGTCAAACAAGTAAGAATCTTGGTAATAATGTTGAAATCATCTCCAAAAAAAAAAAAACTTACTAATTTCTTAACAGTGTTATGATGTAAAATATAGCTGTTTTAACAACTCTAATAGAATAAATGAGTAAAAATGACACTTTTATGATTTCACTTTTTAATTATAGGAATACAGTTTCTGCATTCATCCCCATACAATTTTTTACATAAAAAAGTGCAGTTCCTATTTATTAATCATTCTAAAGACATGGATGAATATATGAATATTTGATGCATTGTTAATTGTTAAGGTGCTGTTCACTAGTTTATTATTGTTGGTAATATTAAAGCTATAAGGATCAAACTCATAAATAGTCAAATAGACAAAATGTAATAATAAAATGAATAAATGGATATCAGGAATCTTCCTTAATAATAATATAAATCAATACAATATATAAAATGAATATAAATATAGTGAGAAAAAAAACAAGCTTTTGACTTCTAGATGCAGAAGGGAGAAGCAATGAACAACCACCTTGTGGTGTATCTTTATCATTTACCAGAGAGGGGATATTATTATTACCTCTTAGCAATGTATAAGACCAAGAATAATACTTACATTCCAATTCTTGTTCTTCGTCTAAAAAGAACTCTTGTAGTGGTTTTCTCTTTGGTCTTTTTAGGGTATTAAGTAATTGCTGAATTTTTGCAGACACTTTACTATTAGCTTCTGTAAATGTAAAATAATATATAATATATTGTTGAATATCATGCCCTCATAAAACAAATGAGACATTAACTAAAGAAATATACTAATTTTAATCATATTTGAGACAGTAGAAAACTCAAGTAGAGGGAAAACAAAGCACCAGGATGACGACCAATCTTTCTATGTTCTCATCCATAGAGAGGAGGTGGCATATTGGTCAACCAAGTCACACTGCTCCGGAAAATTACATTAGTGTTCCAATGTGCGTACCATGAAGTATCAGCTGTAAGATGCGAATGACATTAACATAAGCACATATGCTACACACATCCAGGAAACCGCTGATTATGTACTTTGTAAATTATAAATAATAAAATAAGACATTTTGATTAAAGATGAATCTTTTATCAAATTACTCTCTGCATTGCACATATTGCAATGCAAAGGAAGCCGAGGGTTGTGGAGAGTTGTGGATTGATGGATGTCCACCCATCAATTACAATAATAGAGAGTCCAATTTTCATGGATATGAGCACTTCATCCCTGAATAAAAACTATAATGACTATCATATATTATTGAAATTGAGAACCATGTCTATCAATGATACATAAATATACAAATAGTTCCATGAGAAAGGAACTCTTTATAATGCTGATGGCTGATGCTGATTTTGTAGTAGATTCATCAATTCACTAACATCTTAGTGATAGAAGCAGGCACACGTAGATCCATTTAAACTACAGTAACATTATCAAGGGTAGGACATTCAACCCTCAACCTGCATATCATCCATTATTAGTAGAGCTCCCTCTAAAAGTGATTAAAATATTAATTCATACATTTCCAAAAATCAATGAGGATGATAATACCACTAACAGTTGAGATACCTACATAATGTAGATAGAAGAATCTGCATAGTAATTAGACATTCTAGGTTAGTACAGATACTTAAAAAATAAATAATGGTCTTACGTCTTGCGACATCTTGTCTAGGAGTGCGGAAGGCGACTTGATGGGACGAGCTGGCTGTTACATCAGGAGGTGGTTGTGAACTTGTTCGTCTCGCTAAAACAAAAAAAATATTTTCAAATTAAAGATTTATTCAGTAAAAGGCATTCTTTTTAAGACTTCTGTCTCTACATATAATTACAAAGGAAATACGCCAATTACAAAAGACATCCCAGTCTTATGTCCATTTCATTTGTGTCCTTATAAGATCTCCCCACCAGGAGTATAAGCATGTACATGGTTGATTTTAATGCCATGCAATGATTATTAGTCCCAGCCTTTAGGTATCAATCTCCTTTTTGTATGTCTTTGGTTGACATATTTATATTTTCTCAAATCAGAAGTATAACGTAGGTACCTGGATAATTTTAATGCTAATAATACAATCATTTACAAGTTCTCAATCTTTAGGTCAAAGTTTATATCCCACCATCTCTACTTCGCATGTCCTTGGTCCACCCAGGTCCCAGGAGTATAAGTGGGTACCTAGTTGATTTTAATGCTATACAATATTTATAAGTTATTAACCTTTGAAAATAAGTTCATATACCACCATCTCCATTTTGATTGTCCTTGATTGATGCTATCTCTTTTGCTTTCAATCAAAGTGTATAATTAGGTACCTGGATAATTCTAATGCTAATCATTTGGATTGGATTGGATTTATTCGGTGTAAACACCAAGGATAGCCCACGAAAGTCTAGAAGAAGACTTATTTCCAGTGGGGTTCTTCTGGTGGTGATTGGGCAGTACACCGGGAGACAATCCCCTACTCTTTTCCGGAGAGTGCACTGCGTTCTTTAACGTGCACATGGGCCATAAATGCACACGGGACCAACGGCTTAAACGTCTCATCCGAAAGACGGTGCGCTATTGTAACTTGCATTTCAGCCCTCTAGCTGAAACACAAGAAGAGGCAGGGATGGGAATTGAACCGGGGACCTAGAGATCTCCACGGTTCAGCGCACACACAGTGGCTACCACCAGATTAGCCGACTGAGCTTAGCTGCATCATCGATTTAGTTCTCAACCTTAAAGCGGGTTCAAATCCCACCAGTCTTTGTATGACACATTATCTATCTATCTCTCTCTCCCTCTCTCTTTCCACCCTGGAATATAAGTCGGTACCTGTCAGAAATGCTAATTGCAATTATTACTAGTTCTCAACCTATAGGTCAGAGTTAAAATTTCATCCTGTGAATTTCACTGGTGTCTTTGTATTACACATTATCTCTCTTTCCACCCACTAGTTATAAGTAGTTCTGGTTGAATTTAATGCTATTGCAAGGATTACTAGTTCTCAACCTATAGGTCAGAGTTCAAATCTCACCCTGTAGCATTTCAATAGTGTCCATGTATAATGCATTATCTCTCCACCCACTAGTATAAGTAGGTATCTAGCAGATTTTAATGCTATTGTAATGATTACTAGTTCTCAGAGTTTCATCTCGTGCATTTCACTAGTGTCCTTGTATTACACATTATCTCTTTCTCCACCCACTAGCTATAAGTAGTTATTTGGTTGAATTTAATGCTATTGCAATGATACTAGTCCTCAACCTATAGGTCAGAGTTCAAATCCCATCCCATGCATTTCAATTGTGTCGTGTATTATGCATTATCTCTCCACCCACTAGTATAAGTAGGTATCTGGTAGCCTTTAATGCTATTCGCTGATTAATACTAGCTACAACATTTATGGAATTCTCCCCCAGGTGGTTACAGTATAAGTACTTGTTCCAGTGGCTGGGATAATGCAAATCCTGCAAAGGCTCTTATCACTGCATGTGCTAAATCAGGCCAACATCTGACGTAATATTACCGCTATTCATCTCATTATGCCATACCCACTCACATTGGATATTAGTAACTGATTTTAGGGGGAAATTGATGAATGAAAGAAGGGTAAATTGTGCTGAATAAAGCACTGTAAATTATTATATTTTCTGTGATAGATCATTGTATTTCGGGAAAAACAGTTAAATTAATACAGCAAAATATCACATAATAAACATTCTCATAAAACATTCAGAATAATTAACATTATAATACTCAGGGTCATGTATTATTATACATTATATTAGTGCTGAGCTTGATACTAAATGATGATGTCATACCTGTAAAATCGACAGGATATTACTATCCTTAGAAAAAACATTATTAAAATATATGATAAGATATTTTAAATACCTCTTAAAATTTACATTAATATTAAAAAATGTTACTTTTGCCATATGAACTTGATACGATGAATAAACCAAATACCTAGTAAGTAATTGGTTGTTAAGGCCTTGTAACAATGTCTAGATATCTAGTCTTTATTACTACTACTTTAGTCTGTATATTAAAGAACCAACTAAATTTATGTCTAGATATCTGTGGAATTGTTAACAATGATTATGTACAATATATGAAAATGGTCACACACTCACACATTGTGTTTGGTTCATATGATATGAATATGAAGCAATATTAAAATTAAAGCAATACATGTAATTTTCTACCACAATTATATTATTATGATTATCCAAAATACAAAATACAGTAATAAAGCATACCAGTACTACAATTTTCATCATTCTGATCATTACTATAAAAAGATAATTTACATAACCACTTAAATAAAATCAGATGATTATGGATTACATTTTAGTATTTTTTTTTTTTTCCTACATTTTAAAATCATTCTATCAAGAAAATGTGTAGGAGTTTGCATATTTCGGTAATAGCTCATACTACTACAGGATATTCAAATTGTTTCAGGAAATGTATTTTCATATCTTTGTCAAAATCGTTTTGTTTTTATACAGTAGAATATCATATGGCACACCTTTTCTTAAACAAGTAATTCACTGCATACAAATTATGTACTGACAATTGTTACATATGAAGAAAAAAGGGTTGACTTCCACAAGGTTCGAGTTTAGGTCAAAAAGCGAACTGCTAAGAGGATCCCTTAGGAAATATTGGCAAGTTTCACTTCATTTTGCACATGATTATATTGCCAGTTAGCTTGTCATCTACTTGAAAATATTCAGCCGATCCCTTCCATCTTAGCTTCCCAGAACTGGTAAACAAGCAGGCCTAACTGTTTACTGCTAGGTCACAAGATACTTTCAGACTACAATTCGGTATTTTAGAGTTTGTATCTGTCTAGAAGAGATTGATTTCTCTTTTGCTTACATCGAAAATGAGAGAAAGAACTGGCCTTTGGGATTAATGACAAGAAGATATAGTTCAATAGCAAAGGTCATAACAATTTTAACATATTTATATTTCTGTACAGCAGACCTTTATTTTGTAATTGAACAATATGTTTGATAACAGTATCAACTTCAAACAAGTGAAATTTGTTGTCATGAATAATTAAGAATTCCCAAGTCTGGTTCTGAGAAAATGTAGGCCCTACAATATGTTCATGAATCACTGTGGTGCAAAAATGGAAATCACTTTCCTAAAACAACTGACCTACTTTCTCAAATGATAAACATTATTTGTATAGATATAAAATGTCAAGATATGGCAATCAAAAAAAATGAAGGAAATGCAATTGTTAGGAAATTCCCCATTGAAGATATTAAGATAGGGGTTTTGTACACAAGTCCCTGTTGTATTTTATAGTTCATAATGTCATAGTAACTGTAAATCTAGGGTTGAGGAATGTTCTTTGTCATCTTTGGAAATTAAATTCATAATCTGTATTAAAATGGCTATCACTTAAAATTACTTTCAAATCCACCTTTAATCCAATCTTGTTGAAAATTAAAACATCCTTAATTGATTATTCTGAACTAGCTGTGATGCAGTGAGTAGGATCATGGACCTATTAATAGGTCCATGGTAGGATTAGGAACAGTATATTGCATCAAAAAACCTTATTGACTGCTGAACTTACAAGTGGTGAATCTAGTTGATGTGACAGTCCCTTTAAGATGGCATGTTAAGGAGGGTTTATACTGTACTATGACAATGTTATGACTCATAGTCTGGTTTGTTTGTTTGTTTTTCTGTATTTTTGTCAACCAATACTTAGTGCAACAACCTTGAACTTTTATTCATGTCATTTTGTATAGTCCATGGTTTTACTGGTTTTACTACAGATATAAGTAATTGCAATAAAATGATAAGCATAATACAAATAATAAAACAGTTTAATCAAGGAGATATGGTTTAATAAATAACTGCTTGTTGATATACTTTCTAAACGTACAGTTTATATAATTGTACATATACTAATTGATTAACTATATAAATATTTAAATGCATTTTGAAACAAATTTCTCTACAACAAAATAATTAAAATTCAGGTACACCATATGGTATGTAAGAATACTGTATTATTTTGAGAAACTACTGGTTTATCATAGTGGTTTTACCTCAACAAAACCCATTCTTACACATTGTATACTGAAATTTTGATTATTTTGTTATTGATACTTGCCATGCATACCTAAGATATTAATTTCTCTCTATGTTATACAGATACAGTATTACATGTTATATTTAAACTGGTAGGCCAGCACAACACTGACTCCTTATTTGCCGAGCTACTGGGTCAATGCCTTATTGGCACAGAAACAAGAAAGAAAAAAGAAGGAAGAGGATTGATTGATTAAATGATTAAGAAAAAAAACCTAATTAAAAAAAAACTTTCTGGTTTAAAATCAACTCCGCTTAAAAATTTGATATTTTATATGTACAATAATTATGTGAGTATGTATAATAATTATGTGAATGCATATCGTATTCGAACAGTAACCGGAAGGTCTCAGGTTCGGATCCCCATAGGGAATAATGTTTTTGTCAAATGTTAATTATTATCTGTAATTACCAGTGGAGTTGTATCTCCATACCTAAATAACCCTCATGTTACTTACGATTATTCATTGTGTAATTCGCAATACATTGTGAAAAGATTAATATTCCTGGTAGAAAAAAAAATTATATTGATACAATTCTTTGACAACAAATTGTGCATAAAATTATTCTGCGATGGTTGAAATAAAGGTGGGATGCACCCCAACGACAGGGGTGAAGTGAACCAGTAGCATCAGGGTAACCCCTACTCTACCGAAAAATGCAATGGATTCTTTGTACATTGGACCACCAGTTTTAAGTCATTAACCAAGAAGACTTGGTTCAACCAATCGAAAAGACCTGGTTTCACCAAACGAAACCTCAGCGAAGAATGGCTCTAACCAAACTTTGATGTTAGGCTGTAGTTAGCAGCGTCCCTGCCTAAAGGCCTGTTTATACTTCAACGATAACGATAAAAAAGCTAAAAAGCAATTGTTCATATAGAAAATAAAAGAAATAAGAGAAGTTTTTACGCTATACTACGACGATTTTTTCCCATGATTATGACGTCATATGGTTTGATTTGTTAAAATATTTTGTTATTGCATGCACGATAAATCGTTATAGAATCGTCCTAGTGTAAAAACTTCTCTTATTTCTTTGTTTTCCATGTGAACAATCGCTTTTTAGCATTTTTATTGCTGAAGTGTAAACAGGCCTTTACTGTGCTCTTTTTGCCACCCCCTGGATCCGCCACTTGAGTTAAAATTATAATACTTACTGTTACTTGCTATATCTAATCCTCGTGCTTGGCTTTGTGGTCTTAGATGTCCATTTGCAGGTTCCATTCCTGGTAATCTAAAGCCTAGTCCTGAGTCTCGGGTTGGTGCACTTGTTGAGTCGACAGTGTGGGTGGAGGACGTTGACTCGTTGTCAGAATCTGATTCTTGGAAAAAAATATTAAACAGTCATTCATTTTTAAAAGTATTCTCTCCCAGAAGTAAGTGCATACAACAAAATAATATAAGATGTTAATTTTTTATCTTCATACTATTAAACCAAAACCTGAAAATGATTAAATGTTAAGATTTAAACCAATTATGGTTATGCAAGCAAAGTACATTTAGTTTTCCCGCTTCTTGCGCTGAAGAAGCTGGTTCAATTTCAAACATGACCAGTGTTGATTTTTAATTGGAGTCTGATTGCGAGAGAGAGAGTAAGGCAGGATAGGATCAATGTGCGGCATGAGTAGCTAGATGGGTGGATACTGACATCCAACAGCAAGTATGCTTGCCAATTAAATAGAAAAAAATCCTGGGATTTTAACCTATGACCCTAAGAATTAAAAGCAATCTTTTTTAAATCACCATACTACAGCCACAGCTACACAGGGCTAAGGCCTATAAAAAGTATTATTAGTTTATCACTATATCTAGGTTGGAAAAGTGATGAGGAAGGGTGTCTTTTTTAAAACTTTCTAAAGCCAAATAAAAGCCTTGGGTTGTTTGCTGGTCCATTGATATTCAAAGTAAGACATGATTGAGATAACATAGACAATATCCTATCAATTTAATAATAAAAATTAAAAAGAGAAAATTGTTTTTCCTAAACTCTACCCCTGTGATTCTCAAATAAGTAGTGCTATGTATGAAATAATATAATAATAATAATCTTAAATTCACCATATACTGTAATATTCATTCATGAAGCATGTAAATGTTAAGAGGTTTATAGTCTGAAAACTTTAAAATGTTAATTTATATTTTTCTTGTTTGACTAGCAAGTGACTTGGCAATTACAAAATGGAATCAATGCTGATGTTTTAAGCATCAAAATGAGGTTTACAGAGTGGAGTTGTTAAAAGAATCCTGGTTTTTACATGACCCAGGACCCTGGGAATGGAAGGCAGGCATAGCTCCACTCTACATGCCTTCAACTACCCTATAATTGCACCATACCACATATAGTAGATACAGTAACAACTGGTAATTATCATTATGCACAGCATATCAGATACTGAAATCTTATGCAGTATTTTAATGAATATTCCAGGAGTCTCAAGTTGACACTAATAATTGACCTCTGATTGACACTAATATTGCAGCAATATCCTTATTCCCAGTTCCTTCATGGCTTAAAAGAATGTTATGTTATCCAGGTATGTATTCAAGTTCCCAGGAACTATTGGTAAATTGCTATTGGTAAATGAATCCGTCTAATTGTAGACATTCGGCAGCCATTGACAGTTAAGTTGGCGTTAAATGTCCCATCTATAATACATTATTACAATGTTTATTTTTTCTGAATAATACATTTGAAATGTACAAAACACAGGAATGTACTTTTATGTCAATGACAAAAGGAAAGGCTATAGGCCCCTACTGTCTAAAAGTTAAAGGTTATATTTCCTTTAAAAATAAAACAACTCTTATTTCAACTCAATCTTTTGGTATTTCTCCTTTACAGTATTTGTCTCATTTATTTGACCATGTACATCTTTTACTTATAAAATAAAATACATATCCTCAACTTTCTTTCAAAAATTGCATTAAAGGAACTTCGACAATTTCTGTTTCAGTCTTGTGATTGGCATACAAATGGAAGTTAATAATAAATGTAATCACGATACAGAAAACAGAGGAAAAGGTTAATTAACTTCAGGAATCATATGGTAGATAAACTCATATGGTAGATAAACACATAAACACATCTATGGGGACAGGAGGATAACAGATTTTAAAATACGTTGTTATTTTCCAGGTAAAAGTGTTTACAAGCAGGATACAGAATTTTTTAGAAAAAATCCAGTGTTAATTTTCAAAACCTGTCTGGTCATCTGATTCAGAATACTGAATTCCCATTGGACTGAGTTGCTGATGATATACTGAACTGTGTGCATATTAGAATAATTTATATTAAACATTAAATTAACATTCACACTGTTCATGAGTCAGTTGATAGTATCTAAAAAATTATTATCTAATCAACTTTCAAATCTATATACAGACTATAAGGCGAAGTAAAAAAAAATAGTTCCTCGTCCTAATATTTTGAAAAAGGGAGAATGAGGGCCCTTTTTTTTTCTTTAACTCCGAGATGACAAATTTCAGATGGTCAATGGAAAACAGCTACTACTTTACTTTCCAAGTAGACACATTGAAAGCAAATAAAAGAAGCACAAGACATAATTCATACCATGTATCCCCAACCACGAATGATCGAAACAGGAATTTTACTGATGATGTGAATTAGCCACATTTTTGTACATTTTGTAAAATAGAGAAAATAATTTAAAAATTGGTGAGGCAGAGAAAATGGATGAGCAAGAGGACTAGAGAAACTAGTAATTTCAATAATTTTAATTTGGCCTAACATGGACAGCTATTTTTGTTTACAATAATTCCTCTGGGTACTATAAAACCCACCACCTTACACAAAATTGGGCAAAGGGGATAATTTCACCTTTACAATGAAAATTTAATTTTGTATATCACTCATGCCAAATTCAGGGATGTCGTTATGCAGGGCGGAGGTGGGCGGGGCCATCCAGCCTTGACGTCTTGCTCCCATCCTAAACCAGTTTTAACGTCTTCCACCCAGCCACATACAAACCCCCCCCCCCCCCCCCAAAAAACCCCCATAATGAAGAATTCAGGATGCTGAAGGCCAGTTAAAAAGAAGTATTGTTTCCTCTTGTTGTATGAATGGATGAATAGTTACCATATTGAGAAAACAAACACTTTGGTTTTGGGGGTGTTACTGTGGATCACCTCTCATAAGCGACCACTTGCCAAAAGTCTGTTTTGTTTCCAATTCCATCATTGCATTTATATACTTCTTATAAAAGCCCAACCCTCATAAGAAGCCACCTCTCCGTAAGCAACTATAACCACATGCAGTAGGATGTGATTGTGAAAAAATATATAGCAACCAAATTAACTTCAAACATTATTGTTTACATTAAAAACAGTCTCAAATTGGAATTTTTCACAAATCCACTTTTTTTTCTACAGTACTACATATTTTATGCAGATTTGCAAAGTGTTCAATTCTATGTTAGAAATTTTGGAGCACATTTTAAGAAATAAAAACAGACGGAAGGCAAATAGAAGGGTAAAATCAAATATTCCTAAAATAGTTAGTTATTCCTTAGGCCAAGTTAAAAAAAAGGGAAGGGGATGTGTGGAGAAAACTAGAAACTAGTAACTTTTTTTATTTTGTCTTATCATTTGAATAATTATGCGAAAAGCAATTTCTTAAGATAAGATTCTCTCAATAAGATAAGTATAATAAATGGGTCAAACATAACAGAATGTGTTTCAATTGCAGTTTAAATACAAAATAAAATAACTTTTAAGTGTTAATGTAACAATTGTTCTTATTAATAATAATTTGATTACTTGAATTTTGAATGCTATCAAAATGGTTCTACATTGAGCCTCTAGTGTAAGATGTAATAATCTTACAAACATCCAGCCCAAACCAAACCCTTTAGGGCCTCTTTAATTCAGGGAAAATCTCTTAGTTTTTATTTAGTTGAGGAAACAAATTGTGTAGGATATGAGATATCTGAGAACTTGCAGATATGAAACTAAACCCCATGCAGTGGCCTACAATGGAGTTGATCATACACCACATATTGAATAGTTATTTATCATTATGGAGAGCACTGTGGCTTGTAATTTGTATGTTGGGTTCTCGAGACAAGGAACAGATTGTCACAACACATGGTGAAGTTGTAAAAAAACAAATGAGAACAAACTTTGTTTTTATGATAAAAAAAATGAGTAGGTAGCACTTTTTTTGACTAACTAGACCTTTGCTACTTTTGCTAACTATACAGATTTCTATATCCAATCAGATTTATTGTTTATCATATATATTTAGCTTAATTATCCAATCACATCTATTTGATTTGCTGTATCTTGTGAAACACTTCACTCACCTGATGAAGCCCCATTGACTGGGGCGAAAGCTTGTGAAATAAAATTCATCATTAGTCAAAAAAGTGCTACCTACTCATTTTTATTTATATTCACTGACTAATACGGCTTATATTACTTTTTTGTTTTTATGATGCAGACTACAGTAGCTGTGGATTGAAGAGATGATCATTATAATGTTGATATTACAGTTATGAAAATGAAGATTACTGTACTACACTATGCGACGAAGACGACGACGGCGGCGGCGAAGATAATGATGATGATGATGATAATGATAATGGTGCATAGATATCTAGAAGTGTTGACATGGGTGCAGGTGGGATGCAAAAGTAAAGTGAGGGGGATTTAACGTAAAATAAGTTGGAATTAGGTGAACTATCTAAGCATAATTTTTTTGCAAACCAGATTTCTAATGGGAAATGCTGGTGGACGTGAACTTTTTTCATTTGTTGAAATTGTCTGCATACAATCTCTATTGTATATTTCTCACCTGGTGGTGTTTCAATTGGCACATGGCTCGAGTGAAAAGACTGTCGTTTGGACGGCATTGGCATCGGTAGTTGAATCTCACTGTGTCTTGCTAAAGCGGCTCGAACAGCTTCTTCTCTTACATCTATAATAAAAAATTAACCAATCGAAATTGAGACCATATTCATACAGGTGATAAAACAATACGAACATGGTCTCAAAATATAATGTGCCCTCACAATCAATATTATTCTTATTGGTCTTAAATACCAATATTCTGTGCCATAATAACTATAAATTAAATCTATACTAAAGTACAGTACTGTTCAGTATTCTGTCAATTACACCACTACATAATATTAAACTAAGTGCAGTGGTGCCATTTCTAAGCATGCAGGTGTTCATTCTTAACATTTTCCTCAACCATGTTGGGTTCAGGTGGGTGTAAACTTCCTATCGGGGACCTTAGACTTCTGGTCGACGACCTTGAACCTCCATCTGCAATCTTCGATCCTTGGGGAAACATCTGATGCCGCCACTGGTTATACAATACAAATCTATGTTGATATTAGTGTAATTATTTAATGCCATATTACATAGAAAACGACTGCTTTGAACAACCTTCTGTTACTACAGTAGATCTCAAAAGTCATTGCTACTGTAGTCTTTAGGACTTCATGGGCCAGCCTTACAGTATGTCAGCCTTTTTTTGGACACAGTCACTGATAGAAAAATCTACTTTTATCAGGCATTATAATAAAATTTAAGAAAAGAAAAACTTTGTTAGGAAAAGAAACAAAAGAGTAAATTCACCATTTTGTCTACAGCAGTTTGTACAACCAATAAAGTCCAAACACAAAGATAATGTTACTGTACTACAATATCAAATGAAGGTTCCAAACTCCACAACGAAAACCATAAACAGTGATTCATTGTCACTTTCAGCAATAAGTGATTTCTTATGTACTTTAGAAACTTGTACAAAAAAAAAAGGTATTGATTCTGAAAATGCTAATGAAAAGAAAACAACGTGTAAAGTAAAGATGACTTGAAGCATGACTGAGTGAGTGATGCTGTGGTTTTAAAGTGGCAGTCCTATGCTCATGTCATAAAATAATTTTGGACCAACACTTATCATTTACTACCAGTTAAATATAAACATCCTGATCTCTTTGTTTTGCGATTAGATGAGATATAGGTCTAAACTTATAAACTAGGTTCTAGATTTTAAGCTTGCACTTACTGTTTAACATGAAATCTACAGATTGCTCCTTTAAGACTAGCTTTGTGGAGTAATCACAAATGTGTAATCTTCAATCCATTGATTCTTTGTGTAAAAATATGCAAGGGAGTGAATAAGTTTATCAGAACGGAATAATTGTACAAAGATAGAGTGTGAAGTCAGGTTCACTAAGAGCCTAAATGTATTACGTTCCAGGTAATTTCTATGCTAATTTTCTTTACTTCACCATTAAATGTGAAGTTCATATGTTATCATTAAATCTTAAAATATATCAATTGGAAAAATTTAAATATTAATGAAATTAAAACTCTATATTTGAGGATATGTGCCTCAGGGTTGTTTCAGCATGAGGTACTATTTTATAATAATTATAATATTTGCTTATTTTCAAATGAGTCAACATTTGAAAGATAACTGCTTGTCAGATTTCCAATCTTATGAGAAGGGATGCAATAAATGGCAAAAGGGTGAAGCATATTAAAGTATATTTGAATGATATGCATTAAGCAATAAATAAAGTCAGAAAACAATCCACATCATCCTCTGGATAAGCTATTATATTTATGCTCCTGAAACTCTTTGTAATATAGTTAGTATGCCCTGAGCTTTTACTGAAGAAAGGCTTTGTACATAAAATTGGGCGCGTAAAGTGTGGGGGTGGGGGGAGAGATGGGCAGGCCTTTACTGGAAGTAGATTTACTGTACAGTACATTAGTATAACATGTAGTGTGCACAGCTTCTGTCTAAGGCCTTTGCCTACATGCAACATATAAATCAAGGATCTACAGTGACCTACAAAATAAATTTGTGAGGAAGGGGTGGGTATGCACAGCTTTTTGCTACAAAACATTATACAACACTAGTAGGCCTATAGCATTTGTTTATGTTTAAATCATTAAACAACAAAATCTTAAGAGGTTTGCCAACTAATAAGAGCAAAATAAGATTTACAAATTTTTAGATACAAAGTAATCAATGACCAGACTTACTGTACTGTACATTTAAAAGCCATTTTTTGCCAATCTACAGTACTTTGTAAATTTAGACATTGTTTCCTTCTTGAGAAAATGAATGTAAATGTAGTTGTATTTAAACTACCAGCTGATTTAAAGCGAGTGATTTCCAATCCCCAGGGTACTACTTTTTCCATCCCTGGAGAAGCGATTAAGTGACTACTAATGTGGGACTGTAATTTTTGTTACCTCCTTTAGGTATGGATTATACTTACACTTTTGTGCAACAAAAGTAGTAATGTGATTTATTTGCAGTATTGTGTAATGTTAATTACATTTGAACTGGGTTTCTTATACACAAATACAAATTTAATGTGGGTGTGTCCATTAAACATAAATGAATGTTTAATTGTGATGTGTTAATTACCAACTGCATTTCAAAACCTAAAATAGCAAAAAAACTGAGATTAGACACACCTCAATGACATTAAACAGATGTACTAAAATATAAATACCTTATTTAGCAAACTTCTGACGTACAACAAAAAACAAATTATTTTATTACCTGATCTAAATCGATCAACATCAGCATCATCATCTCGCCGTCTACGTGTCCGGCGCTGCTTACGTTGTGCCGCAACTTGTTCTTGAACTGACAAGATAAAAAACATAAAAAGATTAAATAATTTAAAAGTATTTTGGTTTTTTTTATATAGTAGGATTTATTATTACCTTTTCCATTCATTACAAAGTCCTAATGTCTATGTTTTACAAAAAAAATTAAATGTTAATTTTGTGTGTAGACATTCTAATAAAACTCAAGATTTCAGAATGACATCTGATAATTTCTTTTGAAATTCAAACATTGGAATTCAAAAATTTAATATATTAAAATATGGAGTATTCCTGCTTGGATTTTCATAACTGGTAAGTTATGGATGGAAATCATCTTTCATGATGTCACTATGGGAATAAAATAATGGTCAATATTATCATATTTGCAAGTCAGAAAAATAGCCACACTACAGCCAAGAATCCAACTGGGAAATATAAACAGTATACACACGACAACAGTAGTTGTACTAACTCTATTTCAGTTCACTTAAGCCTGGTAGAACAGTTTCTGTTCTGGCCTAGGAAAACATTTATGGCATCTTTATCCATGGAAATGTAGTTCACTAAAGAGCAATGGTAACTAGTGGAGTATGGAATGCAAGTCCAATGAAACAGATGTCGAATTTGGAACCAATCCAACGGTGATCAACTGATATAAAAACAAGCTTCACAATTACTTTATATGTTCACATTAATTTCCCATAATATACAGTAAATAGTCACAAAGAAAAAGAAATACAACAGGAAACAAAAGTTTGAGGAAAAAATGCAAACAAAGTTGTTATTTGAATATTGATTCTTGGCATGCAGATACTCAGTCGTAATGAACACGAAACATTATGTAGGACTACAAACTAGAAAAGTAAATTTTAATAGTGTACAGTATGGAGATTATTATGGGGTAACTTTCATGAGGAACATACTAAATGCATTAAGAGGTCAACAGTCTATCTCTTTCATGAAAATTTAAAAAATCAAGACCTCAAACTAACAACAATCAAAATTTTATTATGTAGGCCTACTGTTTCTGAGGAGTGATAAAAGGTTGCATAAAATGAGTATATTTTTTAATATTTTCTTTTGAAAATGATGAAAAATATTAATGAATCCTTATAATGCAATAAACAAACTATCAAACTGACAATTGTCTTGCTATGCTGAGTTAGACAATTATCAAACTGACAATTGTCTAACTTGGCATAGTAAAACTACTGAGCTACTATACAGGTTGAATTGCTATTCAATTAAACACTTAAAATGTAAGTTGTACCAAAAAATAAAATATTGTATTCCTAACTTAGACAGTTACTGCAGCTACGATAGTTCAAAATAAGTTTACAAATATTTATTATATATTTTGTAAGAATACAAATAGGCTTCAAGCTGATGTTCAACAAGTAAAACCAGCATGAAAACATGAGTCCTACAGCACTGTAGGTTACATGAGTTTAGGTTAATTTACAAGCAATACTAAAAGCAACACTTAGGTGAAGTATTCCTACATAAAATTACTTTAGTTACAAGACAAGAAATATACATCCATAATTTTTTTTTTAAATAAATATCATAATGTTAAGCTCCAGCAGTATACTGTTAGTTGAGGACCAGAACAATATACAGTAATTGAATTTTATAAGACCACATACTATAGAACAAGAAAGTAATTCATAGACTGCAGTAGACTTATTGGATGAATCATACCATCACCATCAAGAAAAATATATCACTAAAGCAACACACACATTGTGGAACTACACAAGTTAATTAGTTGATCAAAAAAAGTCTAGAACACTACAATAACAAAATCAAGTTATATAGTAAGTCAGAAAAGTAACCTATACTCACAATATATACAAGACAAAGTATAAACCTAGGCAGTTTTAGTTCTACTGAACATTAGTGACAACTTTCAACGAACTGAACACCTGATCACCAGGTGAGCAAGAAACAGTGTCACAATAATCATAAATCACTGTATTCTTCTCAGAGGATAACTTCTACTGGACAAGTACTGTACATATTATTTATCCGTAGAGCAGTAAAACTAGAATGCAGAACTGATATTTTCTACTGTATTTAAAAGTTCAATTCTTTTTTCTTGTGTCTTTTGATGAAAATAGACTAAATGTAGCCAAAAGGACAATATAAACACTAAAGGAAGACGATCAACCAAACCTTCAAAGTAATTGGCATAGACTAAAAAAACTGTAGGGAACTTTGACAGAAGACATCTAAAAATAAACATTCTATTATCATAATGTGATTAGATTTCTAAGATTTCACACATTTGTAATTATGTATTTTACACAGACATAGATTCTTTTTATTTTTTATATTCTTTTTACAGTTTTGATATCTAATGTGTGATATTAACAATCCCTGTTCTGCAATTGGTATTGGCTTGTTTGATTGATTCAGCAAGGACACTAATTTGTGTATAATTACCTATTTCCCAGGAAGCAAGTTATCAACAAAAAATCTAACTAGTTGAATACAAATTCTTAAAAATTTACAACAAATGTACAGTATGTATTTGATTTATAAAATTTAGTGCACAGAAATTGATGATTCATGTTTTTCTCATGTTCAAAAACAAAAAATTAATATCAATATACAGTATAAAAGTCATATTAAAGCAGTTCTGACAATATTAATATACATAATACAGACCTGTAGAATACAATTATAACCATGGAGAAGAGGTCATACCAAGGACCACAAATTTACATCAAATAATTAGCGTAACATATTTAGCTATTAATATAAAATTGTAATTAGTAAAAACAAACAACAAAATTTAATGATATGATAAGTTTTGAATATATAAACATTCAATATCCTAACTGTATATAATCTTCCCCTGCAGAGCTGGAAAAAGTTGGTCGGCTGTCAAAGGCTTTGTGTATTACCCCAATGGCATTTTGGAGATTCAAAATTATAAAAGAATTTTTTTTTTCTGTAGACAACTACTCTAGGCTATTGTACTGTATTATAAAAAAACAGTTCGTGTAGAAGGAACACTTCTAGTGAAATATTAAAAAGAAAAAAAATCAATTTTTCCCATTAACGACAACAACTTTATGTTGCATAAAGAAAATATTCATGTTTGGAGGTGCGCAAAATTTCATTTTCCAGGCCTGATGCCCTTAATAAAGTTCATTTCAAATCCCTAAATTGAATTTACTACAGTAAAACAAAATATTAATTTCTATACTATCAATTACAGGAAGAATTCCTGGGATTTAATGAGCCTTCTGTTTTAGAAGGTATTTAGCATTTGGTTACAATCACATAACACCTGGTTCATCTTTCAAGCTCATATAATTATTGATTTCATTATCATTATAAAACAGACATAAAGAGTGCAATTAAATCCATCATAACTCAACAGGTATAAATGACATCTATCCTTTATCCAGAAGTATGGATTCAATTCATCCAAATGGCAAGATTACTTGCAAATGATACAATTACTTTTTACAAACAGAATGAAAAAATGAAACCCTAATCTGATATTAAATATTAAAGGAATAATTAAGAACCTCATGGACTAAATAATAATTCTAGATACATCTATTTTAATTAGTGTCTTTTTTGAAGGCTTGTTTTGATAATATTCGATCATGTACTGTAGTATCTGCGGCAGATCCAGAAATTCAAAAGAGAGAGCCAAGGGAATGACTCACAAATAGGGTGTCAATATGACCTCAGGCCCACCATGGTTGGTTGACTTCCCCCTCCCCCTTCAATCTGCCACTGAGTATACTATACACAAAAATTAAGGATATCAATGTAAAGAAAAATGAAGCATTTAGCGTTAGAATAACTCGATTATTCCACATTCTTATTGATCTTATTATAAATCTTATTAGAATTCAACCCCTCTGTGTTATCTGATAAAGTATTTTAAACCAAAATACTGTATAAATACATACTTGACAAAGAACTATTTTAAATTGTTTAAATTATTCATTTAGTTTTTTTAAACTTTGAGTGAACTCCGATTTTCAAGTGGGTTGTTGTGAAATATTGTAGAGTATTGAGACAAAGACCATGATGGCTACACACTCTTCCCATGAATAAAAACTTAATTATGTGGTTTAGGTCTGAAGGATTATCAGAATATTGTGTTGAGTTATCACATGCAAGGTCTTTTTAGGTCAATATTTGCATAACCATTCAAACAACCAAGTAAGATGAAAAGCCTATAATGTGAATGTAAAATGAATTAATTTAAAAAAATAATAAAAGCTTATGTTCATTGCAAGTCAAATTTTTTTTAATACAATAATAGCGTTGATTTCAAGTATTCATTTGGCTTCAGTTTATATGTTGATTTTCATGTTCGTTTTTATAAGAACAGTAATAAGATGTAGTTTACTATTAATTTACAGTTGCTCGTTATTTTTAACCTTATCATCTGACTATCATTGACAATAGCTTGTAAAAACCATTAGGCTATATAATATCGCTCAAAACTGCAGACAAAAAATATTATGATTATAAATTTTTTGAATTAAATGGTAACCCCTCAAACTTATATTACTGTAGCACAATTGGCTGGTTTTTAGCACACTCTTTACTAACAAAAAAGTAAATGAAATAATGTGAAAAAAATCATGTGATGTACAATGACAGGATTTGAACACATCACCCTGAAATAGGAAGCCCATCATCTTAACATAATATTTCTAAAAACATTGAAATTATACTAGTATTTTTAGTCTATCCTCAGTCTACAGTATACTACACCATTTAACATGCTTAGCTACTTTATTTCAACATTTTGTGTCCGGTATGTATATTACCAATAGCATATTTGCAACTCTTAGTAACAATTAGCAAAATTGGAGTGTCATCAATATCTTTTAAAGGATTATATTGCTTTTCAAACAAAATATCAGATAGACTGAGTTTAAAAAAACCAGTACATGCATAGAACAATTATTAGTGCCTTTGCACTAATTTAGTACGTTGTTTAAAAAATAAAAATTATGAAATGTTCCAAAGGAATGAGAAAAAAAAAAGAACATATTAAAGGCCAAATTGCAAATTTCTTTTTTACAGATTTGTTTTTTAAAGAGGAAGGACCCCTATTTATTTCTCATTAAAAATGACGACATGCATGTTCCCCTCGGTGTACGGTAAGAATGGCCCCGGAAAAAATGGCCCTGGAAAAAATGGCCCCGGAAAAAAAGGCCCCAGAAAAAATGGCCCCGGTAAAAATGGCCCCATATGACAGGTAGGTAAAAATGGCCCCAATAATCAAATTCTGTATTAAAACTGATTTTATTCATTCCCTCATAAACATTTTTAAACAAAATATCCAAGACAGAATATATTGAAGCACATAGAGAAAAAAAAATTGTCCTTATCAAGATGGTGAAATATATTTATAGCAGAGACCCAGAAAAGAAACACATGAAATTACAATACCGTAACTCTATTCAATAGTAAATTTTTCATCAAGCACAGAAAATTTTTGAAATAATGTGCACTTTTGAGAAAAAAAATGGACACATGTTAAAACATGTGATCACATGATAACATGTGCAAACTCTATGTAAACTATACGTAAGGATGAAAACACATGTAAACATGATAACATGATGGGTGTCTATAAAACGAAGACCTACTGTATAAATGAAGACCCCTATTTTTTCTCTTTTATTTTCGTTTTTGGGTCCTCTTCAGTCTTTGTTTTATGGACACCCATAACATGATATAACATGTGAGGACACATGTAATCAAATAAGAAAACATGTAAACACATGATATGACATGCAAACATGTAAACACATGCAATCAAATATTATATAACATATGAAAACATGATACCACATTAGAACATATGCAATCAAATATACACACAAAAACATATGTAAACACATGATTACCACATGAGGACACATGTAGTCAAAGGTAAACACCTGAAAACACATGTAGAGCATAACTCATGAAGGTACATGCAACCAACCACATGAGAAAAAGTGCAATCACATATAAACACATGAAACATGTGAAGACATGTGGAAACACATGACACCAACAAAGATACACCTCATGAGAGTGTGGTCAAGCAAAGGTCATTACCGTATTGCTTCTGAATAGTCCTCTCTGATGGTATAAAAAAAAATGCAAACAAAAAAAACAACAAAAAATTAGATAATGAAAGGTACATAAAATCAGAAAATAAATTTAATTATTCATTTAACTTTATTAAAATATATTCAAATAATTTATAGCATGGCTAAAAATAAACATCCTCAATACTATATGTGTACTAGTAAATTATAGTATGCAATAATATAACAGAAGGTGAGCATTATAAGAAAATATGTACATTAACCAAATATGGTTCAGTAAATTTACAAATGAAAATATTTCATGTTAATTACTTTACCATAATGTTTAATAATAATAAAGAAGTGTGAATTGGTGGAATACAAAGCTAGTAAAAACAAGATTTAATATTTTGACAAGAAGGTACTGTATAATAATATTGTTTAAATTTCAAAATTTATTGCATTTACAAACTGTTATAGAAAAAACCCTGCTGAACAAGCATACAATAGTTTGGGAAGTCATCACCTTGTTTAAGTCGGGGACAATAGACCAGTTTTCGTTGTCTAGGTTGCTGTAATTTAGGCTTCAACGTAGGCACGAAAAAAAAACAACTGGGCTTACTGTACTGTATGTGCCCTAATGTTAGGCCCAATAAAAAAATTATTAGTTTATCACCCTTGCGTGCATATATTCTATGGTATTGAAAAAATATATATAATATATATTTTTGAATTCCTTTTCTTTTTCCTTTTTTATTTTTTTTTTGGAAAAAGAAAACCAAAATGTTCAATTAAATTGAAAAATCATTGTTTTTTTCATTTTTTTTATTAAATAGTTAGTAGATGTTGTTTGTATTATCTCAATCATGTTTTACTTTGAATATCAATGCACTAGCAAATAACCCAAGGGTGATACAATATTTGGCTTTAGCTTTCAGTCCAGATAAGGTGATAAACTAATAATGAAGGGGTTAATATTTTTTTACATAACATGCTAGTATAGATTCACAAAAACTGTCTTGATAGGTATAAAACTTGCTGTTAAAACTATAGTCAGTTTACTGATGAAGACACACCCACAAACACACTAGGTTAATTACATTATACTTGTTACTTGATGTTATTGATAGTTAAAGCTGGTATTGAATTTGATTGATGAGATTTATTAATTAGTGTTTAGTAAGTTGTTTATAGATTTAATTACTGATGAAAACTTGACATCATCCTGGATGTTTTTGTTTTTACAGTTGCTTATTGATCAGAAAACTGCAAGAGGCAAAAAATAAAGCTTCATTCCATCGACCATGACCTTTGCTAGCAATGACATGCTGTAAACCAATTCCAGTAATCAGACAAAATAGACCAAGTAAACATAACCTAGCCTAGTCACTCACAAATATGATATTTCAGCTTTGAATTGATCAGACAGAAGCAATATTTTTCCAGACACTAATAAAGAGTGTGATATCAGAAATCATGAGTACTATGATAATATTATAATACAATTACAACATAATTATATTAAATACATAATTTATCAATAACAAAAAATATTGTCAATAATTAACAATATTATAATATATCAAAGTGATATTATTAATACATTGCTACTAAATGAATAATTATAAAATGCTAATTTTGATTCTTTTTTAAATTCTAAAAATTAAAGTAGAGTGATTGCTTATTTTCAATCAACAATAACAATTCTCTTTATTCCAATTTAATTTGTTCTAAGAATTATAAAATGAAAAAAATATTCATTTTTGTTCATTAACATTACTATTACTCAAAAATTGGATAAAAAACCTCACTACTTAATGCTGCTCCCATTATAAGTATTGTAAAGGAAGTATCTTCACTCAGCAACTGCACCACCAAAATAACAGTCTAGCTAACTACAGCTGCCTGGTTTATGTACAATATGCTCACTTTGTTGTTTTTTTTACTATGAAATGAGGATTTGGAGAATGAATTTAAATGAAATCTATTTTTGTTTAAATATTTTAATGTAAATACTACTACAGTAAAACGTCAATTTTACGAACGCCTATTTTAGGAATGGTCTTTGAACCTGATGACGTCATCATTGACCAATTATTACCGTAAAAAATGTCCGGTTGTGCACGTTTTACAAAGTGATAATGTATATTTTTCTTAATAAAATCAAGTTAGTTGTATTTAATTATTAATATTTCAATCTTTTCTTAACTATTTCTGGTATAATAATCACTATATTAATGTAATAAACCTAACCAGAACAACGAACTACCAACACAAGTGTCATCGGATGGAGCGCACACGTTTACAAGAGTTTTACAAGAGTGTTGGAGTCAGCAACTTATTGACATCGTCAATGCTAGATATGATCGCAAAATGCATGTAAACAACACAATTCGGCGATCTAACAACTAGAAAGAACACGATAGAAATGGCCATAAAATATACAGATGTTTGAATAAGAGTTGAGTATAAAAATGCCAGCGATTAAAATACTGTAATTTGGTTTTTTTATCGAAGTTCAGTTAGGCTCTACCGCGGTAGACCACGCTGCTGCACTGTCGGTTTGTGCTAGGCCTGGCCGACGTCAGCCTATCGGCGATCAATGGCAGGTTTACAAATTTTTCAATTTATGAACACCCCTTGGTACCAAGGGGTTCGTAAAATGGACGTTTTTATCCATATGAAATTCTTAATGTTTATTCATCTGTAGATTATACAAAGTACAGATAATATAAAAAAGTTAAATATTATATAAAATACCTACCTGATCTAACCATGGTTATCAATTTCCCAGATGTACTCTTCCAGAATAAAATTAAGTATATTTGCCTGAAGTGATTAAAAGAGTAAAATACTCAATATACTTAAATGCTACAATCCAGTTGGAATTACTCTTCCTACAACAACAGATTCTTGCTTTATAATAAAGCATTTACTAATAAAACTACAAATTTGACCCTGAAGGTCATAGGCTTTGCAAACCACTTCTGGTATTATTTCTAAGCATTAGCCTTCATCTTTACCAATACAATGCCTGATTTATCAGTGTAGTTTCTATCAGTCACCACAAACCACTGACCCATATGACCTTTATAACAGTTGACTAATAAATAAGGCAACATAAGTGCCCTATCACAAGATATTTCTTATTGGCATTGTTTTATATAAGACAAGAAGCCTTTGTTCACCATTGAACCTAAGTGGTATGGAAGGCATATCAATCCTGGGATTAAAACAAATACGATAAACTCTAAATCAAGATTAACCCATTATATTTCTTTGTTTGCCCTTTTTTGATTCAAGTAATTTAGTTTGGATTTTAATTTCTCGTCCGGAACAAACAATAATGATCTAGTATATTATTTATTACAGCGATAATCTGGGATAAGCTAGCATTAAAGTAAGGATGTGAGTTAAATTTTATTTAAACAAAATAACATCACTTTGATTCTTACTGTATATTTGTAATCAATTTTTATTAGCATGCATTAATAATATTAATGTGATGTTTACAAAGAACTATCTTTGGCTCAAATTCATTCTATTTTCTGGTTTAAATTAAAATAAAACATTGTGAGGTTTAAATTTTTTTTTTGTCTGCACCTGATGGGGCCCACAACATATCAATGTTCATTGACTGGGATCCTGTACCAATCAATCAATCAATGAATTTAAAAGATGCATAATACAGCTGTCTACCCATGGACCCGACCCAGTGTATGGTAAAAATGTCCACGTAAAAAAAAAGGCCCCGGGAAAAAATGGCCCAAATGACAGGTAATGATTTATAAGTAAAAATGGCCCAAATGAAAAGGATTTAGTACTGTAGTAAAATTCAATTCCTGTAATGTCCACCTTCATTTTACATTATCACTTCCATATTTGGACAGATGCAGTGTGAGATGTGTAAATTTGCAATCTAATACAAGTGATAAGTGACAACTAAATTATAAATTAATGGTTGAAGTTTTTTTATATTTTGAAAATCTAACTGTAGCCAATAAATAAAATTGTTTTTGTTTGACAATGCCATATAAACAACAAGCATAGTTAGTCCAGGTGTTTTTGAGAATTATTTATTTCTTCTTTATTTGATAATAATCATTATTTATTAAGGTTTTAGTTAGTTTACTTTGTAATCTAATAAATTACAGTTATACCTTATTTTAGGGGAACTCTGACTTATTTATTTGTTATTTAATTTGTCTATATTTTCTTACTGTATAAAATTAGTTCATAGTCATTTAAGTTTTATATATGATGTAGTATTTGATGTGGATTTTTTTTTCTCTTTTAAGCAATTTGAATTTTGAACTCAATATCATAAACTTTAGCCTTGGCTACTTTTTTCATACATCAAAAATGTTTAAAATTTATCTGCTTAACACCTGTGATCACTGTAGTTATTTTCAATTGAAAAACAAAATAATATCTCAATTTTGCATTCCATTGAAAAGGAATTAATTTTACGAAGTAAAACTTATGTTTTGTATAAGATCATTATCACCTATTAAGCCATGGTTTTCATCCAAATCCTTGTAAAAATATCTTTAAATCTAATAGATTTGTGTGTTATTGATGATGCACTGAATGGTTATTCAGACAACTGGTATTTTGATTTAAAACTTTAAAATAAAAACTTGGTTGAGAGAGCTTCATAATATGTTTAAAAGTAGTTTTACACTCTCATTAATTTATTAAATACAGGACTTACGTATTGCACAAAACATGAGATTATAACTTACTCATATGTTCAGGAGATATTTTTGGTTACAAATTCTTTATAGAATGAACCCAGGACCTACAGATTGAAAAGCAAGTGACTAGCCCATGCAACCATCCAGTAGCTCAAAGAGTACTTTTAATGTTTTAGAATCAGGTTTAAAAATGTTTCAGTTAGGAGTCGTTCACATTTATCAACATTTTCACAAGTGTACAAACAGTACTCTTTTTAAGTACCCTCTCCCTCCCCTCTGAAAGTGTACAAAAAATGTTGAATTTGCAAAACCATTCTCCAGCAATGTACTTGGTTGCTTAAAAATAAATATTATA